CACAAGAGGGGGTCAAGCTTACTGCTACTGAATTCTTTTTCAAATGCTGGGTACCGAACCTAGGGCTTTGACCCTCACTAGGCAAGGGCTGGGCCATTAGGCTACATCCCCAAACCCAAGGTGAACTTTTTTGTACTGGGAATCAAACTCACGACCTCACGCTTGCCAGGTAGGTGCTGTGCCACTGGGCTGTATCTCTGACCCATCCAAGGTAACTTTTATAGCAAACCACTGTCAAGAGAACTAAACTACTCCCACAGTAACAACACTTTCCATTACTGTACACATCTGAAATCCCAGCACTCTAGAAGGCTGAGGCAGGGGCATCAAGTTTAAGCCCAGCCTGGGCAACTAACAATGCCCTGCCTTGAAGTACATTTTTTTTTTAAATCTTTTTGAGACAAGGTCTCACTATGCAGTTCAGGCTGGTCTTGAACTCGCAACGATCCTCTTCCCTCAGCCTCCCGAGTGCTGGGATTACAGGAGGGCACCACCACGCCTTGAAGCACATTTTTAAGGAAAAATATTTTTTAAGCTGGTGATATAGCTCAGTGCAAAGACTCTGGGCTCCATCTCTAGTAGTGAAACATCTCACTTGGGTTCAGTTTCACAAGTTTCAATCCACCGTCACTTGGCTCCATTACCTTGGACCTGTGGCAGCCGAACGTGAGGTGGTGGACAGTGCTCACCTCACGGCAGCCGTAAAAATAAAAGCAGGACAGGAAGGGGTCGGACTCTCAGTACCCATTTCAAGGGCCGACCCAGGGACCTCGCCTCCTTCCCCGCCCCCGCCCGTGACCTCACTTCCTCCCCAGGCCCCGCCCAGTGACCTCACTTCCTCTCTAGGTCCTGCCCCCTCCTAGGGTGCCGCAGGCTGGCGACGTCTTCTGACCCAGACGTATAAGGGCCAGCCGCGGCCGCAGTGTTTCCAGCAGGAATCCACACTTGAGGGATCCCAGCCGTCCCTCGCAGCCTCACCCGACACTCGAGGAGATGCACTTTCCCACAGGTCCCTCTGGAGTCACCTTCCAGTCCCAGCAGGCCCAGAACAGGCGCTCAGGAACTAGTGCCGGGCGGGAACGGCGCAGCCCCGGCCTCCCGGCCTCCACGGCCGAGCGCCTGGCTCTAGGGGAGACTCTGGCAGCCGGCGCGGGCGCTCAACCTTCGGCCCACGGTGCCACTCTGCCCCTGCCCGCCGGGGTGCCGCCGCCTGGCACTGTTTGAGGACGGGAGCTGGCCCGTGCGGCTCTGCTCGTCTACCAGGGACCCGGATGTCGATTCCAACAGGCCGGAGACTGAAGCAGACATTTCCTGGGCGCAGGAACAGAAAACGTGGCGGTCAGAACTTGCTGAAGCATCCTGTCGCACTGTGGAGGGCGCACGGTGCTGGCAGAAGGGCAGCTTTGCATACACGCGTGAACACACACTCTCACACAATGCCACCAACCTCTACCAGAATGAAAAAAAAAAAGCAAAAAAAAGGAGGCGGAGGTGTGCTCTGGAGACGAGGATCCCTGGGTTTTGAGACCGTAGGAGGAAGCCACTGGCAGAGGGTGACAGATGAAGCAGGTGGCAAGTGCTGCAACCAGAAGCGGCTGCCCAGGAAATGTGGAGGGGACCCGCACACCCAGCAGCCAGGAAGCCAGGAGGCCAGGAGTGCCAGCCAGAGCCGGAACAGCCGTGGCACCACCTCCTTCATCTGCTGGAGAAGCCAGATGAAAACGTGTTTAGGAGAGCTTGGCTTCTGCTTGGCCCGGAAGGAAGCGTGCTTCAGGGCCCAGATCGGGAATCTGAGGCTGAGGGTGGCCCTGTGGCCGCCCGACCTTCAGATAAAGCCGCACCCCATCACTCCTGCTACTGATGCCCATCACCCCCAGGCTGCCTTCCTCAAAGAGGGGCCTTGGGGTCCAAGCCCCTGATACCTGTAACTCTGACCTTATTTGGAATCGGGTCTGTGCAGAGATGATCAAAGTGAGACCATCAGAGTGGGTCCTAGTCCAACAGCACCAGTGTCCTTAGAGAAAAGAGAGGCTGCTCGGTGGTAAAGGGCTGCCTCACTTGCACAGGGCCCTGGGTTTGACTTTCAGCACCACAAATAAAGGAGACAGGGCACCACAGGAAGAGACAGAGAACCCTCGTGTGGTGGCAGGGCAGATGCTACATGTCCACAAACCAAGGAGCACTCAGGACTGGGGACGCCAGAAGCTAAAAAACGGCAGCGCACAGATTCTCTCCCGAGCCGTCAGAGACAGCATGCCCTGCCGACACCTGGACTCTGATTTTGGACTTGCAACTTCCAGAACTATGAAATAGCCAGCTTCCGTTATTGGAACCTCACAGTTCATAGTACTTTGTTATGGTAGCGACCGGAAATGCATACATCCAGGCTCTGCTTCCTTTCAACCCATTGCCTTTACCCGCTCCACCCATCATCACAAAGAAAAGGGGGAACAGGCTGTTATGGCTTATATCTAGATGTCCCCCCAAAGCCTTATAGCGCATGCATCCCTAGGCAGGGCTTCATTGGTAGAAGTCTGTGCTTTTCATGGTTTCCGGAGAGCTTACCTTGGGCCTCCAGAAACCTACGACGCCTTTGCCTTCTTGTTCCGGGCTGGGGTTCCGGAGGAGAACTTCACCTTCTCTGGCCTGCTCCCCTCCTTCCAGGAATTTCACCCTTCTACCCTCTGCCTTGTTACTGAAGCATCGTAGGTTCATGGATCTAACAAGTGCACACTCTGCCGAGAATCCTCACAGGGGAGCCAAGGCCTCTGCGAAGAGGGCGGGAGGGTTACGGGAAGTCTCTGTACTTGCCCTGCAATTCTGTTGTCAACCTATGTCATGGCTGTGTCTAGCTGTCCCCCAAAGCCTCACGTGCTCATAAGCGAGGCTTTTCACAGGAGGCTGGGTCTAGTGTGTGATGCTGAGATCAGGGTTTGTGATCACTAAATTAGTCCACTGTTTGGTTGAACATCGCTCTGGGCAGGATTTCAGGGTGCCCCATCCTGGGTGTATGTGCCACTCACCCTAAGTAGGGACAACCTGGATGGAATATAAGGGACAGAAAGAGGGTTGTTGCTTGCCACTTTTCACTTGCTGGCTGCTTGCTGTCTTCTGCCTGCCCTGCCACACCATTGGTTGTTTCTCCTCTGCCACACTCTTCCTGCCATGCTGCCCCACCTTGGTGCCAGCTAAGTACGGACTGAAACCTCTGCAAACTGTGCGTTGAAGTAAGCCTGTTCTTCCTTAACTTGTGAGTGTTGGGTGTTTTGTCTCAGCAATGAAAAAAAGTTACTAAAACAACCTAATACTGCAAAAAAGTTTTCTTTAAAAGAACCAATTTTAAAAGCCATGCTAGGCCCGGGGATATGGCATAAGCGCCTACCTGGCAAGCATGAGGTCGTGAGTTTGATCCCTGGTACCGCAAAAAAAAAAAAAAAAAAAGCCATGCTGAATTTAAAAATGGGAAAGACTTTCAATAAACATTTCTCTAAACAAAATATTCAAATGACTCACAGCACTTGGGAGGCTGAGGCAAGAGGAGTGCCACAAGCTTGAGGCCAGCCAGGGCTACACAGTGAGTTCAAGTTAGCCTGCGCTACACTGTGAGACCCTGTCTCAAAAAGAAAAAAAATTAAATGACTCAGAGCACATATATATGCTCACTTCCATTAGCCACTAGGGACATGCAAAGCAAAAGCATCCCAAGATGCTCCTTCATAGGGTTACTGCACCGACAATGTCAGGCAGCAAGTGGCACTGGAACCCGGCAGTCTGCTGATGGGAGGGTAACACAGCACAGCCACTTTGGAAAACTGTCAAACACAGTTACCATCCGACCTAGCAATTCTAGTTCTGAAAACCTATGACCACACCAGCACTTGGACGTGAACATTCACAGCAGTGTTATCGCCATGGCCACGTGTGCATCGACTGATGAACAGACAAGATGTGGGCAATGGTATTTCAGAAAGAAGTACTGATGAATGCCACAACACATATGTTCAAAGAGCCTTACACAAGTTCAAAGAGAAAGAAGTCATAAGAGACTACATATTTATATGAGTTTGCTTCTATGAAATAACCAGAACAGAGAAATCTACCAAGATAGAAGTTGCTGGTGTATGCAAGCGCACACCTGCAATCCCAGCACTTGGGAGACCGAAGCAGGAGGATCTGCAGTTGAAGGTCAGGCTGCGCTATTAGCAAGAACCTGTCTTTAAAAAGAAAAGAAGCCAGGTATGGTGGCACACACCTGTAATCTCAGCACTGGAGAGGCTGAGGCAGGAGGATTGCAGCGAGTTCAAGGCCAGCCTGGATTACATAGTGAGTTCAAGGCCAATCTCGTCGGGCGTGGTGGCACACGCCTATAATCCCAGCACTTGGGAGGCTTAGGCAGGAGGATTGTTGTGAGTTCGAGACCAGCCTGGGCTACAAAGTGAGCTCAAGGCCAACCTGAACTGCATATCCAGACCCTGTGTCAAAAAGACAAAAACAAAACAAAAAAAAACAAGGCCAATCTGAACTTAAGAGCGAGACCCTGTCTCAAAACTCAAAACAAACAGAAGTAGATTGGTGATATCTTAGGGCAACAGTGGTGAATTTATGGCACTATTTTTTCTTTTAAGAAAAGGGGTCCAGACCGAGAGCGCGTTCCTTCCCTTGCAGCGGAGTCTGGGAAGGTGATCGGGCGCTCCCAGTCGCCGGGATGCGATCAGATTCACCGCCCCGCACGCTGTCCGGGCCAGGGAGTTGCGGAGTTGGTCCTATTTCCGATCCATCAGGCCCCGCCCACTCTCCCGGCCCCGCCCCCGACCTCAGATTCCCTCCGTGGGGTCGGGGGACTCAAACCCCGCCCCTAACCTGCTCGAGCCCCACAGCGGCCCCGCCCCCAGAGCCAAGACTCCGCCCCCTCGGCTGGTAAGGAGTTGAACGCCAAGGATTGGTTTGCGTCAGAGACCTCCTTTCCTCATTGGTTGCGGCGGCGTACGGCGGCGTTCATCTGGCTGTGTGACCCGGAAGTGATTCCCGAGGCGGCGGGCCGCGTGGGTTGATCTTGTAGGGACCCGGTGGTTGCAGCCGCTGTGATGACCAAAATAAAGGCAGATCCGGATGGGCCTGAGGCTCCGGCGGAGGCGTGCGGCGGGGAGCGCACTTACCATGAGCTGCTGGTCAATCTGAACCCCATCGCGCAGCCCCTGGCATCTCGGCGCCTCACGCGGAAGCTCTACAAGTGCATCAAGAAAGGTGCGGGGGGGCCGGAGTCGGGGTCGGGCCGAGGTCGGGGCCGGGGTCGGGGATCGGGGGCCGGCTGACCACTGTCTTTGCAGCTGTGAAGCAGAAGCAAATCCGGCGCGGGGTGAAGGAGGTTCAGAAATTTGTCAACAAAGGCGAGAAAGGGTAAGAACCTAACCCCGCCAGAGTAGGCAGTTCTGATTGGTGACCAGGATCCTGCGGGGGAGCTCCAAAGTGGAGCACCCCCATATGACCCAGCCCATGCACAGGTAGCGAGGCGGTCGGTAAGCGCCCTTTAGTCCAGAAACCTACGGGAAGTGAGTCCAGAGGGCCGGGACCCTAAGCCCCGCTCTCAGCAAACCCAGCGCGGCCCCTCGGCGCTCCCCCGACCCGCAACAGCTTGGGCCAGATGGTCACACACAGTCACATGTTTGCGTAGAAAGCCTCGAGGAGAACGCAAACTGCAGAGGGGATGACCTCACTACTCTGCTGGCCTGCATCAGAATCCGAGGGTAATACGTCTATTTCCCACTGAGACCCAGCGGTCAGCCTCCCCCACTCCGAGCCCAGCCGTCTGGTACCCCACTGGTGCTCAGGGCGTTTGCCGTGTCCCGGCGAGGCAGACAGAGGAGAACGGATGCTGGGGTTGGAGATGCAGCTGAGTCTTAGCTGGTGGTGGTGAGGATGATGAGGGCGTTTCCCAGAGCGGTCCCGTGTGAAGTAAGCTCCAAAGACACAAGGGTTAATTTGGGAGAAGCAGGTTCTCCCGAGTGGGTCTCGGAGGAGTGGTGGACTTCCGCATGAGCCTTGTTTAGCCACAGTGAGCAGCTTCTCAGAGCTCTCATGGGTCAGATGGCTAAAACCAGGAGGTAACCATATGTACTTCTAGCCAAGTGTGGTATACACACATGTAATTCCACCATTCGGAGAGACTGAGGTAGGAGGACCACAAGTTTGAGCGAGGGCTGGGAATGTAGCTTGGTGTGAAGGCCCTGGGTTCATTCCCTAGTACCACAAAATGATTTTTCTCGCAGTTGAGAAATGGTTTAAGAGTCATGAGTAGGTGTGGGTTAGGAGGCAGTCTGAATTGGCTTTAAAGTCTGGCTGAAGAGGGTGTCAGCCAGGGAGTGTGGACAGGGAGTTAGGACTGGCTTTGGGGGTCAGCGGCAGAATGCCTGCCTAGCATGCAGAAGCCTTGGGTCTGAGCTCCGTACTGCCACAAAAAGCCCCAAGTTTGGTTTTAGACGCGTTCCGAGGCACCTTGGAGACACTAATAGACGATGACTACATGTTTGGCGCTTGGGAGAGAGACCAAGCCGGAGAAAGTAGGCTCGGGAGTGAGTAGTGGCTCCTAGGTTGGACCTGACACCGTGGCTGTGGCTTGGGTTGGCCAGGAAGAACGTACTGAGGGGACAGGGCAGCTGAGGCCAGGCCGGGCGATGGAAGAGGAGGCAGCAGAGTCTACAATGCTGAAGGGAAATTAGGTGTGGAGTTGGGCCTTTGGCAGAGCGTTCCCCTCTTGGGACGGTGTGAGCTTCCTGGCTGGGCACTCCTGCCCTCGGGGTGACACCTCCAGTCTCTAGCTCTGTTGTTTGCTTCCTCCCCATCCGGGATTCCCAAGACCTCCCAGGCTCCCAACCAGCAGCACCTGGTGCCATTCTCTCCACCATGTGATCTCCCCACCCAGGACCTCTCTGGGGTGCCTGGCAAACGTCAGGGGTCCATCAGTGTCACCTCCTAGCAGGAGCCCGTGGGACTGCCCCTTGACCCTCCTCCCTGCATGGTGCCACTTGTCCTGCTTGGTGGCACTCACATGCTGTCAGGAGGTAGGGACCCCCCCAGAAGGCATTTTCCAAACAGCCCTGCACCCTGAGAGGTTGGTGGCCTGTTAGTAACTGGGCTCCTCAGGGAGGGTGCCCCAGAGCCCAGCCCAGAGGTAGCTCTGTAGGACGGAAGGAAGGAAGGAAGGAAGGAGGGAGGGAGGGAAGGAGGAAGGAGGGAGGGAGGGAAGGAGGGAGGAAGGAAAGGAAGGAAGAAGGAAGGAAGAAGGAAGGAAGGAAGGAAAGGAAGGAAGGAAGGAAGGAGCAAGCTAGAAATGAGGACAGTTTCTCTCATTTCAGGATCATGGTTTTGGCAGGAGACACGTTGCCAGTCGAGGTGTACTGCCACCTCCCGGTCATGTGCGAGGACCGAAACTTGCCCTATGTGTATATCCCCTCCAAGACGGTAAGGAGAGGAGCTGGGCCCTGGGAGAGGAGTCTGGGAACTGAAGTGTTAAGAATTCCAGACTCGCGTGTGGGCTGCACTGCTTCGATGTGCACCGTGCCCACGTTCGCTTCCCATAGCTGGGTCTGCTGCTTTTTGTGTGACAGGGTCGCCGTGCATAACGCAGGCTGGCCTTGCGTTCACTTTAGCCCGTGCTGGCCTGGGGCTCCCAGTCCTCCGTCCTCAGCCTCCCGAATAGCTAATGTTTCCTTTTTACAAAACAGGAATCTCCCCTGAACTGTGCAAATGGAAACAGGGATGTGAGCTTGCTTCAAGAACCCAGAGGTTCTGTTAAGTGGGCGCAGACTCAGAGCAGGTATTTTAGGGGCCTGGTCCTTACAGAGGGCCCGGGTCTAGGCACAGGGCATGGGCGAAGGCCGACACTCGGAGGACGCAGCCCTTTCTGGGCTGGAGCCCTTCAGTAGCCACGTGCAAATGTAGGCCTGGTGCTGCTAGACCCTGCGACTTCCAGGCTGGGTTGAGTTTAAATGAGCCAGAGGTGGCGCCCACACCCATAACCCCAGCACTCTGTGAGGCTAAGACAGGAGGATCCCCAGTTCAAGCCAGTCTGGGCAGCTGAGTAACTTAATGGAACCCTGTCTCAAAAAAAAAATTTTTTTAAGGGCTGGCTCAGTGTGAAAGCCCTAGGTTCAGTCCCCAGATTTTAAATGATGGTAACCCTCTCGAAATGTTTCTACACACAACGCCTCCCAGTAGAACACAGCCTGCGTGTCGGGTAGTCCACCAGCCTAGTCCATGTGGGCCACATGGAGTACCCGACACGCAGGCTGCGCCCCTTTGTCCAAACCCTTGCTCTCTGGGTCTCTGCAGGACCTGGGTGCAGCTGCGGGCTCCAAGCGCCCCACCTGTGTGATCATGGTCAAGCCCCACGAGGAGTACCAGGGCGCCTATGACGAGTGCCTGCAAGAGGTGCGGGCCCTGCCGTCACCCCTGTGAAGGACTCCGCAGTAACCCAGGCAGCCATGAAAGCCACTGGACCAGCAGTGGGCCGGCCGCTCACGCTCAGAGCACGTCCCCGACTCCGGGCACAGACTCCCGCAGCGCCAGCACTGTTTCCTGAAGGCAGAGCCGAAGTCCTCTCCATCGGTGCCATTTCCTGTTGAGCTTCAGTGCGGACAGGTCCAGGGGTGTGGGGTGGGGAAGTAAATGCTAAGACTAAAATGTGCCGAGTCTGTGGGTGGCTTTTTGGGGGGTGTAGCAACTGCTGCCAGGGCCAGAGTTGGCACATAGGAAAGAGCGAAAGAACCTTTATCACCAAGTACTCAGTATTGTGCTGGGCACCCTAAGAATACTCAGTACTCTGCTGGCCCCCAGGGCTCCAGCTGCACATCGACTGTTGCCCTCCCGAGCTCTCAACTCTTCATCCCACCCAAGAGAGGTGGGGCTTCGAGCCGAGCCTCACAGACACCTGCAGCCCCTATGTGAGAAACCCCCCGTTCTTCCCTGCACTTAGAAGCCCTGCGGACCGCATGGGAGCAGTTTACCCCTACACGGGGAACTGCACCGGAAATAGGGTCTACACACAAACCCACAGGCTGCACTGTGACCACGTGGCCCGCACAGCACTCAGTACACGTGGCAACCAAACTGCGTAAGGACTCACCTGAAAAGAGCAGGGTGTGAGGGTCAAAAGCCAGTTCGAACCCCACACTTTTACCTTCCTAAACCCCTCTGCTGGCGTCTAGTATGATGTTATACATGCACATGGGAAAGCAACTCGTGCAGGATCTGCCACCCGTCAGATGCTAGGTGACACTGCCGGCCAGGGCTCTGTTAGCAGCAGCCACAGGGCCGTGCCCTGCACCTGTCAAAAGCAGACACGCGGTGCTTGCTTGTACTGAGGTCAGGGCTGGCCGCAGGTAAGGAGGCGGCTATATAGAAGGCTGTATTTGCTCAGTTATAAAACAGTGGCATTCAGCTCTACGCTGTGCTATTTACAGTGGGTAACGGATATGTACAATTGAGGCTGTATAACCTGACCGAGGGCTACAGCAGGACACTCCGGACTGTGGGGCAGGAGTGGACACAAGCCTTGGCCTGGCAGTGAGATGGCCAAGGGCAGGGGTGGAAAAATCTCTGCTTCTGGTGGCCAAGGCCTCTGCTGCTTGGGTTGCTGCTAAGTTAGGGGCAAACGGAAACAAAGAGTAGGAGGGCAGAGGCCAGCAGTCCTTCAACCTAGGGTGGGGTGATGGCGCCTCTTCCCAGGCTTCTGCCCGAGGCTCTGCCCCACGGCGCTGCCCTCAGCCGGCGCTCTGAAAGGAGTCCCAGTCCATGCAGCCCACCGAGCTGGACTGTGGCTCATGGAATAGAAAGCCTTTTCCAGCAAAGTCCTCCAGGCAGGAATCAGAATATGATGCGTTTCCCGTCTGCTGGGTTCTGCTCCATGGGACAGTAGGGACACTTCAGCCTGCAGAAGGAGAAGCAAGAGCGTCTCGGGTGAGCCAGGCCAGGCTGGAACAGGATGAGGGGTGGGGGCAGGGGACTTACTTTCCTCCATTAATGAGCTTGTTGAGTGCGTCTCGGGAGATGACGTGGCCGCAGATGAGCTTGATGGGAGGGTTGGAATCTGAGGTCTGCTGGCGGAGGATGGGACAGGCGAACACGGAATGGTACCAGCACTTCATGCCTAGCTCGATCTCTATCTGCAGAGGCCAACAAAGGTGTGAGTTCCACTTCCTGTCCTGCCCGGCACCTAGCTCTGGCTGGCCCCTCTGGCTGCCAGGCTCGGGCTCAGGCTCACCGGCAACTCGTCCTTGTGACTCCAGACGCCGGTGCACTGCCTCTGCTCGATCACAGCTTTGATGTTCATCAGCACGGGTAGCGCCACACAACCAGAGGCAAAGCTGCAGAACAGACAGCCAGAGCTGGAGTGGCTGGCGCCAGAACCAGCAGAGACAGAAGGACCAGGGCACTGTGCCTTCAGCACAGGACGTGAGACAGGAACTGACAGTGGCCTGAGGTCCAGCCGGTCTCCGTAGATCACTCAGGTCACTCACTCATAAATGCCACATACAGAGTTAGTGTGTCCAACTGTGGAGACCCATTCTAATGTGCCCTCAAATTTAAGAACCTATGGGAAAGACAAAAGGAAGCCCCTGGGCAGATGCCTGCTGAGCCGAACCACTGTAAAGTCTCCTGTGGGGGGACTGTGGTGCATCTGAAAGGCCCCACCTGCAGGACCACCAGCTCGCTCTGCTGTCAGGATAAACCTAACAGTGAGCACCGTGGGCTCAGCTCTCAGGATGACAGCGGGGGAGGGAGCGTCTGCTGGCAGAACCTTGGGTGACAGAACACCGCGTGACACATGGTGGTGCCACACAGGTCACTGGATCAAAGGGCCACTGATGTTCGTGCTGGGAAGTACTGTTCTACGACGTGGATGTCCAGTGACAGGGCAGCCGAGACCAAGTCAGTCTGCCATCTTGGGATGGATCTGGGACTCCGTGGCAGCGACAGCTGTCCACCGTGGGGGTGTGGCTCTGGGCTCAGCCCAAGTGCTCTCTACTCCCTGTGAGGTGCGTGGCAGGCCAGTTCACATCGGGAGCCTACTGCATTTTCATCCGTAGAGTGAGGATAATCAAGACTAACCTACTGGGTTGCCTAGTAAGCTAGGGAGAATATAACTGAGGAGACTTTTAAGCCGAGCCCTAGATCCGTGTTTGACTGCCACTCAAGTCCCCCTAAAGGGAAGTGGGGTCTGAGTGTGGGGCGAGGAAGAGCGTGGCTCAGCAGAGAGGGTCTCAGAAATCCAGGCTGAGGGGCAGGGGAGGCAGGGCCCTCTGTTTGCCACCTATAAAAGCAAGGAATGTCTGTGTGGAAGGATGGCTGGGTCAGGCTGGTCTGGAAGCACCAGTACCTGACGCTGAGGGGGGACTCCACAGAGAGCCCCAGCAGGGAGCAAGCGTCCCGGGTGAAGGTCTCACAGATCTCCGCCCAGTGGCTGCTGTCCAGGAGGTGGCAGTAGGGAGACTTCTCCAGGCCCAGGCGCAGGTACACGAGACTGCCCATCATCACCTGGATCTCTACAAGACAACCAGGGTGCTGCTCAGGGGATGCGGGTTGTCCATTCCCAGGGCGGGAGAGCCATGACGCACAGCACGGAGCCCGGTGAGCCCTTGTCCCGACGCCTGGCCAGACCATGACTGAAATGGCCTCAGGCACACGAATTCTCTGAAACCCACAGGAGGTGGACTTTCCCAGCTGTTTCTGCGCAGCAAGGACAAGCACTGCCAACGTGGGATCAGATGGAACGGGAGTCCCCTTCCTGTCCCCTTCCTGTCCTAAGCGCGTCGAGTGCGCGCCTCAGGTTGGCCCTGAGGTCATTTAACAGCTCTCATCCCCCTGCTGTAGTGGTGCAGATCCCAGGTCTCAGCCTCTCAGGGCAGCAGTCTCCAGCTGAAGCTGGCCATCCCTTGGCTTTTGTGGTATTCATTCGTTCATTCCCGTGGAGCTGAGGACCAAGCCCAGACTCATACATGGGACCAGGCTCTCTACCCTTAATTTTCAAGCAGTAAATATGAGTAAGGTTAGAGAAAAAGTAACGTGTGTTACTCTGATGAGCGTCTTAAAGGCAAGACTCAAAGGCAATCGAAAGAGTGCAGAAGGAGGCCCAGGAGGCAGCCCAAGTGCTGGTACAGAGCCCCCCCTCCCAGGGGCAAGGCGTGCTCTGGGTGTGCTCGCCTGAGCTGGTCTGAGATGACACTAAATGCTGCGGGGAGGTGGAGGCGGCTGACCCTTGGGTTTGGAATTCACCCTGTGCCAAGGCGGGACTGATCAGGGTTCGGGGTGGGGAAGGCAACAGAGCCACTAGTGGTTAAGGCGGGGCGTCAGCGTGATTGCTTTGGGATCTGCCCGGAAGGTGGAAACACCCTGCAGTGTGTGGTGGTCACAGAGGCGTGGCGCTAGAGTCTCTGTCTGTCCCTGCCTCTTCCTCTCTGGCGCTGTCCCCTGCTCTGCTTCCCAGCTCCCACAAGCTGAGCATCTTTGCTTCCCCACACCCTTGAACCATGAGCTAAACTGAACCTTTTCTTTAGGTGGGTGTTGGGTAGCCCGGCAGTAGGAAGGCTGAACAACACAGAATCCCAGGTGGGTGCAGAGCTGCCAGCTCAACGCCTAACCAGACACATCAGACGACTTCTGGGTCCAGCTGCAGCCGCCTTGCATACTGGGCACCTACCCCGCTGGTGCAGCCGGGCAAAGGGCTGGAAGTGCCGGGCGTAGCTGAGTGCCTCCAGTTGCTTCTCGGGGCCCCCGGCCAGGAGGCGGATAAAGTGCAGTCGGTGCAGCTTGAACTCCAGGGAGCTGTTGAGCTCTAGCAGGCGCTGCCTGTGGGAGACGGCCCACCTGGGAAGAAAGGGGCTGGGTGAGTGGAGCTGGAGGGACAGCAGGACCCCTGGCAGAACCCGGACCTGACAGGACGGCGGCCAAGCCCCGAGACAGATGAGGCAGGTCAAGCATATGGAGGAGCTGAGGAGCAGACAAGCCCTGTGTCCCAAAAGGCTGGGGCAGAGGTGTGGCCCACCCCAGCATCCTTACTCCAGGGCAGGGCCTAGGTCCTGTTCGTGTAGAGCTTCCAGGATGCGGTTCAGCTCCAGGAAGGGCTGCTTGAAATCCAAGTCCACACTCAGGGTTGATTCCTGTGGGGATAAAGAGAGTGATCCCACCACTGCAAGCAAGTGTTTCCAAAACTGTGCTATGTACACAGAAAACTCCTGCCAGAGACAGGCTGCACTGAGGCAGATGCTTGAGGAGCCGCACTCTGCCAGCTGCTCTCGTTCCTGTTCTGGGGAGGCAAGGGCCTCACAGTGACTTCAGGACAGACTGCCAACCTGCCCCCACCACCGAAGCACGGGAGAGGGACCCAGGCCGGTGTTAAGCAGCGTCAGTCCCCCTCATTACATCAGGCAGAGTCTCCTTTACTTCAGTGCAGGGTGTCGGTAACGCCCAGCGAGGGTTACGTTGTCATCTCACCAATTCCCTTTTCCATAAAGGAGTCTCAGACCTCAGCCCAGCACCCTGGCGGCACCCAATTCTAACAGGAAATCAGAAGATTTGCTTTTTGTCATACAAAGTTTTTAGGGCTACCTTCTGTTTGATGGCGGGAACACTGCTTTCCCTTCTAACACAGAAAACAGCCAGGTGGGCACTCGGGCAGGTCCCCAGCCAGCCCTCACCTGGCACAGCTCCTCGGCGACGCTGAGCATGCCCTGCTGGTACAGGTGCTCCACGATGGCCGTCTGCAGCGTCTGCTGCTGCTTCTCCCGTGAGTCCCACACCGAGTCAGAGACCACACCACAGATCTCCGCGTCGAAGTTCTGAGGAGGAGGAGGACGCACAGGGCCCTGAGATGCCATGCTCCTGCTTGTTCCTGGCCTTACTGCACGCACCAGCTCCGATGCGCCCCACCCCAGGCCGGCTACTCACCCTGTCGATGGCTTTGCCCACACGGGACACACTGCTGTGGATGTCCTTGTGGTCCGAGGCCAGTTTCTGGACAGTATCTTTGATCTTCCGGCAACACTGGGACATCACCAGGGACAGGGTGGCTGACAGAGGGGTCCCCTGGAGAGCTGCGGGAAAACAGTGGACTCGGGACACCGAGCACAGCACCAGGGGCCCACTTCCACGCAGACTGTGTCTCCGCTTCCTGTTCCAAATGCCTGCTTAGTGAGCAGGACACAGCCCCGGGCGCCAGCGCGGTTCCAGCTTCTGCTGCAGCCCAGCCACGTGCTCACCGCATGACCTGGAAGCAGCCAGGTGAGACAGGCCAGTCTCGGAGATCTCACACCCTCGTCTGTAAAGCTGTAGGCCGCTGTGACATGAAGGCCATTTGGCACTTTCTGGGGGTCAGGTACTTTATTTTAAGATCATTTACTGTATCACACATAGAATTATATGTTTACCTGTCAAGTTAAACAGAGTTACCGTATAGCACAGTAATTCTGCTTCTAAGGAAAGCAAGATCACGTGTCCCCAGGAAAACCTGTACAAGAATATCACAGCAGCAGTATCCCTAACAGCCACAAGGTAGGAACAACTCAAATGTCCGTCACTTACTGGATAAGCAAAATAGGGTCTAGCCATACAACAGAATGCCAGTCAGCATTCACAGACTGTGGCACTCAGCCCGGGCAGCAGGGAAAAACCCTGACAACACCATGCCAACGAGAGAGCGAGTGCGACGGGCCACACAGGTGGCTCCCTTTACCTGAAGGGTCCAGAACAGGTAACTCTACAGACGCACAGAGTAGAAAGTGGCTGCCAGGGCAGGGGAATGTCAATGGGTCTGGTGTCTTGTGGGGATGATAAAAGTATCCTCAAATTAGAAATTACTAACGAATGTACAACTCTGCAAATTTAAAGTCACTGAATTGTGTACTCTAAAAGGATGAGTTTAATGAGCGGTGACTTACAGCTTGAACAAGCAAAAAGACATCGAAACTGTGGGTTCCTCTGGTTGGTTTTTTTTTTTTTTTTTTTTTTGAGACGGTTTTACTATGTAATTTAGACTGGCCTTGCAATCAAAGTGATCTTCCTGCCTCAGCCTTCTCAGTACCAAGATTACAGACGTGTGCCACCACATCAGCTTTCCCTGGTTATGTCTAAGGTAATTTATACATTAAAATAAATAACAGAAGCTGGGCACAGTACTCCTGAGCCCAGCTACTCAGGAGGTTGAGGCAGGGGAAGAAAATGACTTGAGAATGTCCAACCTGGGCAATTTAGTGAGACCGTGTCTTAAAATAAAAACTGGAAAGAGCTGTGGATATAGTTCAGTTCAAGACCCTGGGTTCAGTCCCCAGTACAATGAGTCAATCAGATTTCTGAGACAATGGCATGGTTGAACTGTAGCCATTAGGTGATAATGTTACATCACTATTTCATCTCTTGGTTTTGATAATTATACTGCACTTACAGAAGAGAGGGCCCTTGATCTTAGGAAATACACACTAAAGGGTTAGAGACACCTAAACTTATTGTTCAGATGGCTAAAAAGTAACAACAGAACGCAGGAGAATGATACAGCAAATACTGAGACAGTGCTTGATGGAGTCTGGTGAGGGGTATTTGATTTACTTACACTATTCTCGGAAACTTCTTGTGAATTTGAGATTACCTTAAGGGTAATTAAAATATAAAAACAGAAAAGCAGGGTCTAAGCATGGGGCTCAGTATTGGCTTAGCATGCATCAAGTCCAGGGTTGAATCCCTACCATAATAAGGAAACAAACAAACAACAACAACAACAAAAAAAAAAACAGAAAAAACAAAATGGAAATGGAAACATTTCAGGTAAATTAGTATCTTTCTGTTTTGTTTTTAAACAGGACATCTCACTATGCAGCCCAGGCTGGCCTTGATCTCATGATTCTCAGCTTAAGCCTCTCAAGAGTGCTGGATTTACAGGCGTGTGCTACCATGCCCCGCTTCTGTTGGGCTTTGCTTTGCTTTTTGGTACTGACAATCGAACTCAGGACCTTGCGCTTGCCAGGCAGGCGCTTATGCCGCTGAGCTGTATCTCCAGCCCCTGTTGGGCTTTTCAAGAGCTGAGGCTGCCGGTCTCTCCCTTCTCAGAGTCATAGAGATGCACATAGCAGCATCCTAACCATCATCCTGCCGGGACCCTGCCACCACAGCCTGGGCCTCCACGGCCGCAGGCAAGCCGGCACGGGGCTCTTGGGCAGACACGCACCTGCGCTGGCCAGCTCGGCCCGCAGCTGGCCTACGTAGTGCAGCAGCTCCTCCAGGCTCCGCTCACAGTGCTGCCCGTAGGTCAGGAACTTCTGCAGGACCTTGTCCAGTTCTCTCTCCACACACGCACACTGCTCCATGGCGCCTGAGGAGGGTCAGCCTGAGGAGGGTCAGGAGGGTCAGCCCCTGCGCCAGGGGCAGAGGGATCCCTGACCCTTTATTTCTTCACAGCCCTCTCACCTTTCTGGGTCGTATATGAAGTCGTGGGAAAGCCCTCGCTTCACAGAACATCTGGCCACAGCTCCCCACCAGTCTCCACTAGGTGCCAGGGGAAGACGCGGGCGTAGGAACCATAGTGAGAAAATCAGTTTTCAATTCTTTACACCCTACTATTTTTCTTCATCTCCACCTGCAGTCAGCAGGGTACACAACAAACTAAAACTCCATGCACTGCACGTAGTCCTATCTCGTGTATTTTTGTACTTCACGATGGCCGCATCTCGACTAGTGGAAGTGGTTTTCCATGTGCTGAGAGTAGCCATGAGGGCAGTCCTTGCACGGTAGATGGAAATGCAGCTGTGCTGACCTGATGGGTCTGGCCCGTCTCTCCGGCCCCAGCTTCCCCTCGGCCTCCTGGTGAATGCGTGCCCATGTCCAGCCAGCCCAGACCCCGGCTCTCAGGCCTCCAGGCACTGGTCTCCCCGGTCGCTCTCAGCTCCCCTTTCCACGTGAGCACAGGCGCTGCTGCAGGCAGCTGGCCCTGCCTGCCTTACCTGGTTCCCTCTACCCTCACCTGCACTGGGTGTTGAGCTGAGCGAAGGCCACCTCGCCCACCACACTAGAAGCGCTCTTGCTTCTAGTGTAACACCGTCTTCCCCACCCTGTATCCCGCCCCTGCACCCCCTTTCTGACCCTCCCCACCCAGCTCACTGCCTCCCTGCATGGAGAGCAGCCACTGACATCGATATTGACAATCCTCAGATTGTCAGCAGGAGTCAGTTTTCCTGTGCACCCACCCACAGGACGTGAAAGGCAGGGCTGTTACTCTTCGCTGTCACAGCCTGTTCATCCTCTAAGCAGGCAGAGTAACGACTGGAAGAGAATCCTGGGTCCAAGCAGACCGTGGGCTCCTCCCACCTTCACCAGACTCTTCTTCCCACAGCGAGTCCTGGCCTCATCCTGCAATCACTGTCTCCCTCCCAGGCTGGCCAGGTGACAGGGATATGGCAGCTGGGCCCACTATAGAGCCGTACTTTCTCTCCTTGTGCATGACGAGAGCACATGGACATTCATAATCAGGGCTTTCAGAAGATGTTCCGCCCCCTCGCTCCTGCACAAATGTCTACACCTGGATGAGCGAGCCAGGGGCCACGTGCAACAGGGCCTCCTGTCCAAAGTGTCATCTCACTGCTCTGACCAGCAGCTGCCACTTCACAAGGGCTCGTTATGTGCCAGATACAACTAATGACTTCACACGCATTAACTCACTGACTTAATTCTACAGAAACACACACAAGCTAGGTATGGTGATTAGCCCTGCTCTGCACAGACACTGAAGGATTACGTAGCTGCCCAAGGTCACAGAGCTGGGCGGTGGAGGAGTGGGAGGGAGCCCATGCTGCCCCAAGGCTCCTTCCTTTCAGTACTCCACCTCACAGGCACTCTCAGCACCAGCAGACAAGCGACTGCTTCACCAGCAAGGAAAGCAGCAAATACCTGTGGCTGCAATAAATGTACAGCAACCACCAACGATGACAAGGAACAGGAAGTGAAGTGTGCAGCCTGTGGGAACCTCACGGGAAAGATGGAAGGACGAAAGGTCTGCCCAGAGTCTCTGGGAACCAGAGGCACACTTTACCGGGAACAAACCTGCCCCAGGAAAGGTCGGGATCTGACCAGAGTCAGAGTCTGGCCCTGTCAGATGCCAACTGACACCAGCAGTCAACATCTTGAGACTATTAAAAGACAAGGGAAGAAAATGGACACAGGATTTTCACCCCAGCACTGTTTGCTGTGGCCAGTGGGGAGACGATCAAAATTCAGCACCGTGTGGGGAGGCATGATGGAAGTTCAGGCAGCACTCAGAAACTGCTCCAGACATGTCCAGAGCAACATCAGTAAAATCCCAAAACACGGTCTTGGTAGGGAATGTTTTATTTTATTTTTTTGTATTTTTGAGATAGGGGCTCACTATGCAGTTCAGGCTGGCCTCAGCCTCCCAAGTGCGGGGATTACAGGCTTGCACCACCATGCCTGGCTTAACAGGGAATAAAATGAAGTCTTGGCAGAATAGCAGTTGTGTAAATTAAAAATGTACTCGCACAAAACAAGGCAAACAAAAGATATACAAAATAAAAGGATGTACAATTATCCCCCGGTATCCATGGGAAATTGGTTGGAGGATACCCCTGGATATCAAAATCTACAAGCGTTCAAGTTTCATACAACATAGGATAGGACTTGCTATAACCTACACACACCCTCCTCTATTGTAATTTAAAAGTTTTTAGTGTTAAGAGTGTTTTGGAGCTGGGGATCAATCCTGGGCCTCATGTACCCTAAGCATATGGGTTACCACTGAGCTATACCCCTGGCCAATCCTATGCAGTACTTTTCTTTGCAATACTGAGGATTAAACCCAGGGCCTTTACACACAGCTACCTTCCCAGCACACACATACACCCCTTTTTCTTTTCTTTTTGAAATAGGATCTTGGTAAGTTACTAGGTTGCTCACCCTGGGCTCAAACTTGTGAACCTCCTACCTCAGGCTCTGAGAGTGCTACAATTACAGGCCTGCACCAACAGGGTTTTTTCTGCATATTTTTGACCTAAGGTTGTCTGAATGTAGTGTGATCAATTCAATAAACTCAACTCAATAAAAAATTTAAACCAGGTGTGGTGGTGCATGCTCATAATCCGAGCACTCTGCAAGGCTGAGGCAGGAGGCAAGTTTGAGCTCAGCCTGGGCAACTTCACAAAACTGTCTCAAACTTTTAGGAAAACAGGTGGTAGACGGGGTGGCTGGTGTGGGTGAGAATGTAGCCCGGCAAGAAGATCCTGGTTTGAATCCCCACTACCTAAAAAAATTTTTTAAAATTTTAAAATTAAAACAAGCAACTGGGGCTGTAACAGTTTAGTGGTAGAGTGCTCACCAAAACACAGGATTGACCTCTGGCACCACCGGATTTTTTTTTTTTTTTTTTTGAGATACAACGGCCTCAAACTCAGAGGGAACCTAGGATTGTCTCAGCCTTCTGGATGCTGGAATTACAGATGTAAATCCACTACTGGCTAAAAATAAAGTTTAAAAAAATGATCTGGGAAAACAAGTGCTTGCAGGTATTCCATCCGAAGTGCTGAGGAAAAGAGCCAGGTATGGTGGGCCACACCTGTAATCTCCACTACTCTCAACTGAGAGAAGAGGATCACTCATCAGGCCACCCTGGACAATTTAATGAGACCTTTCAAAATAAGAAGGGATGGGGAAAAGCCAGGCTTGGTGGTATATGCCTATAATCCCAGCACTTGGGAGGCTGAGGCAGGAGGATCACCACGAGTTCAAGGCTCCCCGGGCTACAAAGTGAGTTCTAGACCAGCCTGAACTATGTAGTGAGACCCTATCTCACAAAACCAAAAAGAAAAACAAAGGGATGGGACTATAGCTCAATGGTAGAGTACTTGCCTAGCATGTGAGAGGCCCTGGATTCAATCCCCAGTATGAGGGGAACAAAGTTATCCGAAGAGCACAGGAGCTAACTCAGTTGATTCAGAGGGAGCCACAGTGCAGAAACCAGCCCATCCTCTGTACTAGACACAAGGAAGTGTGAGTGCATTTGTCTTTGACGGATCTCATGAATAATGTAGGGGCCACTGACTGGAATTTCATGTCCATTGGTCCTAAGCCTTCCTCCCTCAAGGTCTCACAGGTACTGAAATGATCCATCAGGGTGATCCCTCCAAAATGAAGATCAGGCCTGGCATAGTGGTGCACACCTGTAATCCCAACACTTTGGAGGCTGAGGTGGGCGGGTCACTGTGAGTTCGAGGCCAGCCTGGGCTACATAGTGAGTTCAAGGCCAGACTTAACTACACAGCGAGCCTGTGACTCAAAACAATCGGCCCTAGCTTGACACACAAGCCCTCTGCAATTACACATTCACTTCCTCTGCACACGACAGATACCGGATTCTAGAGTATCCTCTGTGCTTCTCTGCATGGAGAACATGAGCTGCAGTTTAATCACCAGCTCCCCATGGACGACATCTCCTTGCCTCTCTTGGTCTCACACACCAGTCTGGGGTGCAGACATCAAGCACACCTGAGTCCTCCCCGTGGAAGCAGCATGGTAACTCCCAGCTGGAGTACCATCAGCCCCCACCGACAGCTGCTCAGGGGCTGGAGATCAGTCTTCTCTTTCCTCTCCTTTCAGGGCCCAGGCCCGGGCCTATCTGCTGATTAAATGGTGCCTCTATTCCCGAAACTTGAGCTCAAACCCAAGGGGCAGGCGGGAAGAGCTGGAAGTAAATTTTTTTTGGGGGGGTGGGTCTTTTTGAGACAGGGTCTCGCTATGCAGTTCAAACTGGCCTTGAGCTCACTTTGTAGCCCAGGCTGGTCTCAAACTCGCAACGATTCTCCTGCCTCAGCCTCCCAAGTGCTGGGATTACAGGCGTGTGCCACCATGCCCGGCTCAGGAAGTAAATATTAAGTCCGTAGCAAGGAAGGCACGGGGCATCGCTGCCAGTTTGTAGCATCCGAAGACAAGAGGGTTCCTGGGACTGGGAGCAGGTAAGTTTGCGCAAAACGCTGGCTTCTGTTGGCCCGATTCTCACACTTTAACAGCCCTTCTCTTCCACCTATCAACCTCTGCTCAACCAACACATCACAACCATACGAAAAATAAACCCACACTCCTTTCCAGGACCCACAAAACCGAGACCAGACGGACCCTTGCCTCCCGTCACTGCCCTCACCCTGGCCGCACTAGCCTGCTTCCTGCTCCCTGACCACGCCAGTCCATTTCTGCCTCGGGGCCTCTGCACTGACCCGCCCTCCGCCTGGACACGCGTCCGCCTGTCCCAGGGCTGGGCCCTTCTTACTGGGTCTCCACACAGACCATCTTCTCGGACCCGCTCCTCTGCCCCACTCACGCCGTCACCGATCACACGGCCCTGCCCCTTCCGCACGTCCCTACGTCACGTGTCAGATCCTTCTTTTCCCGTTAAACAAAACTGGAAGGGAAAAGCCCCCCCATTTCCCAGACAGCAGCCCCTACTGGGATTCCACGCGCATCCGCGTGCGAATGACTGGCAAACTCCTACGTACCTGCGAGCACCCTGCTCCGCCGCTGTGCGGAGGCCCTCGCTCCCAAGGTTACCTCGGGCCGGCCGGGCGCGCCGGGGCAACGGGGCCGGGGCCGCGGGGGCTCTTCCGACCCAAGCGTCCTGCGGGTCTCCAGCTCCCAGGCCGACTGGCTTCCGGGGCTTGGCAGGGAGTCTCCGGAGACGGCTGGGCCCGGCCGACCGGCTGCCCTCCCCGCCGCACCCCTCACCTCACCGGCCGCGCCCCGAGCCCGCGACTCCCACCGAGTCTCGCAGCTCCGGCTGGCTTCCGGCGCCGCTGTCATCAAAACCGGAAGTCGCCGTGGGGGCGCGCGGCCAGGGCTCGCGCGTGCGCAGTCTCGCGCCGGAGGGGCGTCCGTCC